TCAATCAATCAATCAATCAATCAATCAATCAATCAATCAATCAACCAATCAATCAATCAACCAATCAATCAATCATCAACCAATCAATCAACCAATCAATCAACCAATCAATCAACCGATCGATCAATTTTATTTGTAGAGCACCTTCCACAATGTTATCAGAAGCCCAAGGTGCTGAACAGCATCATCATAAGAACATTCCCAGTACCTGGGCATAAAAGCAAGATAAAATCATAAAATAACAAGCAAGCAATATTACAAATACAGAGAGATAACGTAATAAGACTAATCAATTAAAAACATATGGTGGACAAAATAAGATCAAGCATCCTGGTCAAAAAGAAGAAGTATTAAAAACCATAATGTCAGGGCAATTCAAAGAACCCTAGCGCTGAAAAGCAATCAAATAAAAATGAGTCTTTAGACGAGAATTAAAGACTTTAAGGGACGGTGCCTGCCTAATGCTCAATGGCAATTCATTCCACAGAGTTGGAGCCAAAACAGAAAATGCACGATAACCCCTCGATCGCTATTTCGACCGGGGGACCACCAGACGTCCCTGCTCGGCTGAGCGAAGAGACCGAGATGGAGCATACCTGTGCAAAAGTGCAGTAATGTAAGAGGGGGCACTGCCCTGGACGGCCTTATAAAAGAGAGTTAAGATTTTAAATTTTGCTCGGTATTGCACCGGGAGCCAGTGCAGAGTAAACAGCACTGGGGTAATGTGATCTCAACATCTAGTACCTGTCAGGAACATAGCCACTGAGTTCTGTACAAATTGGAGCTGTGCAACCGTGCACTGGGCCTGACCAGCATACAGTTACAGTAGTCCAGACGGGATAGGACGAAAGCATGCAACACAGATTCCAGATGAGCTCTGGACAGTAGAGGCCTGATCCTGGATAGTCTTTTCAGGTAAAAAAAAACAGGACCTCACCACCGTATTTACGTGAGTGTCAAGATTAAGTGAGGAGTCAGTTTTTATCCCCAAATTACTGACTATTTTCTTTTCATAGGGGTCAATGGGCCAAGGTCAATATCAGCACCTGAGCCATTTCTTCTGCCAGGACTAAGTACTATGACTTCCGTTTTGCTCTCATTTAGGTGCAAAAATTAGAAGCCATCCAACATTTTATGTCCTTCAAACAGTCCAATAAAGGATAAACAGATCTATCCTCCCCACGACGAAGAGGGAGATAGATCTGGCAGTCATCAGCAAAAAAATGAAATTTCACATTATGTTTATGTTTATGTATTTAGCAGACGCTTTTGTCCAAAGCAACTTACAAGTGATAATTGGCATTTTGCCCTTGAGGCTAACAACAACAATAACAACAACAACGTTGACATCAGTCATGGAGAGTAGGGAACAAGGAGTGGACAGTCGAGAGGGGTGATGGGTGCAGGCAAGGGGCTAGTTCAAAAGATGCTCTCTGAAGAGCAGGGTCTTCAGGAGTTTCTTGAAAATTGAAAAGGAAGCCGCTGCTCTGGTAGTGCTTGGAAGGTAATTCCACATTTGTGGAACGATGCATGCGAAAAGTCTGGATTGTCCTGAGCGTGGTGTAGGCACTGCTAGCCGACGATCCTGTGATGACCGGAGCGGCCGGGCCGAGACGTAAGCCTTTGCAAGAGGATTCAGGTAGATGGGAGCCGTACCGTCTCAGACTTTGTATGCTAGTGTTAGCAATTTGAATTTGATGTGTGCTGCTAGCGGTAGCCAGTGGAGCTCAATGAACAGAGGGGTGACGTGTGCTCTTTTTGGCTGATTGAAGACCAGACACGCCGCTGCATTCTGGACCATTTGAAGAGGTCTCACAGAACAGCCTGGAAGACCAGTTAGAAGGGCATTACAGTAATCGAGGCGGGAGATGACAGTAGATTGCACCAGGAGCTGGGTGGCATGTTGTGTTAGGTATGGTCTGATCTTTCGTATGTTATACAGCGCAAAGCGGCATGAACGGTTCAACAGAGGCAACATGATCTTTAAAGGTCTGGTGTTCATCAATCACAACACCCAGATTTCGAACTGCCTTTGAAGGAGCCAGAGATAGGAAGTCATTCTGGATTGACATTATGCTGACGAAGGAGGGCTCCAAGAGGAAGCAAATACACTGCAAATAGGAGAGGAGCAAGGACAGAGCCCTGTGGCACACCCCAACGAAGTCTCACGCAGGGTGACGTCACCTCACCCATCTGAACACTAAATGTCCTGTCATGAAGGTAGGAGCGAAGCCATTGGAGGGCCTGCCCAGTTCTCCCCACCCAATGCTGTAGTCGGTCCAGAAGGACTTCGTGGTCGACTATATCAAAAGCTGCAGATAAGTCCAGCAATAGTAGGACGACATCGTTATCCATGTCACAGGCTAAAAACGTGTCATTAAAAACCATTAAAAGAGCAGATTCAGTGCGGTGACCTGCCCTGAACCCTGACTGAAAGGTCTCCCATAAATCATTTGTGTCCATAAAGGCAATCAATTGTGAATACACGACCTTCTCCAGCAGTTTGGAAAGAAAAGGGAGTTTTGAGATGGGCCTGTAATTAGCTAAGTTTGTCACATCCAGCCCCGGCTTTTTTAACAAAGGATGAATAACAGCCTTCTTAAACGAGGACGGAACCATACTAGAAGTAAGACTGCCATTTATGATTGCCAAAAGCAAAGGGCCTATCACTGGAAAGAGTTCTTTATAAATTCTAGGGGACAGCACATCACAAGGAGAGCCAGATGGTTTAAGCTGAGCAACCAGTTTTTCCAAGTCCGATAAGGATACAGGCTCAAATGTTTCCAGTGTAGCCTGGAAACTAGCCTCTGGGAGTAGAGAGTCTGGTGGTGAGTTTGTAATGGCAGCTTGAATAGCTGTAACCTTATCAACAAAAAAGTGAAGAAAGTCATTACAATTTTCAACTGTGGGAGGCAAAGAACTAGAATCAGAGAACTCAAGTAGCGAATTTACTACAGAAAAAAGAGTGTGTGGATCATGAGAATTTTTTTCCACGATATCAGCAAGGAACTTCACCCTTGCTTCCTTAAGAGTTTGCTGATAGTTAAACAAAGATTCTCTGAATATCACACATGATGTAAGACTCAACACCACCTTGTGAATCAGTCTCTAATATGCATAAATTGTCATGTTCTGTGTCTCTTTGTGTTCCTCATGTGTCTCCTGTTTGCAGCCCTCCAGATCATTCCTCCCAAGTCCTGTGTTCCTTCAGTCATCCCCAGCTCCTCCAGGTGTCCCTTCACGTTCGGTGTCCTTGTAGCTCCAGCCCTTTTTTTCCCCAGCTCCCTCCTGGTTTTCTTCATGTTCTCTTAGTCTCCCCACCATATTTCTATAGGTCTATTATTTCAGTTTTGTGTGTGTGTGTGTGTGTGTGTATGTCTTTCTCCAGCTAGGTGTGTAGGTGTGTGTGTTGTGTGTGTGTGTGTGTGTGTGTGTGTGTGTGTGTTTGTGTTTGTGTGTATGTCCTTCTCCAGCTAGGTGTGTGTGTGTGTGTATCCTTCCCCAGTCAGGTCTGGTGTCCTCCCCTGCTCCTTCCTGCTCCTCCCTGATTAGTTATTGCTTTCACCTGGTTCTCTCCCCACACACCTGCAGCTCATCTGCCTCCCATTATGCCCCAGTGTATAAAGCCCTGTCTGTGTCTCATTGTCTTGTCGGTCCATTGTGTTTTGTGTCAGCGTTGTTTTGTGCTCCATGTGAGCTTTTGCACCTTGTCTCCAGGTTTTGTGCTCTATGTTGAGCTTTCGTCCTCCTTGTATTCAGGACTTTGGTTTTTGGCTTCCTGCCGTTTTGGATTTTTGGTTCCTCATCCTAATAAAAAGGATTTTACCTTCAAACCGCTCCTGCCTCGTATCATCTGGGGTTTTCTGCACCTTGGGTCCTAATCTCCTCCTAACTCTCAACGTGACATAAATACACAGATTTATCACAAAAAACCCATTTCTACTGTAAGTGCCACTACTTAGTGTCTTCTAGTCTCTGTAGAATCAGTGCTGGCTCAACAAGGCACACTTTTCTTGGATTTTTATAATTTGTTAATTGTTAATTTATTTTCTCACTCAGCAGTTTCATTCATCATTAATGCAAAATACAATCATCAACAGTCTCCTAAGTGAAAAAAAGGGGGAGGAAGAAGAAGTCTTATATGACCTACCCCTTTCTACTTCATACAATATAATTTACAGAATGGCCTTATACACAAATCAAAGTATAGAACTTCCTTGTCTTTGTAAACAAAATCACAATAAAACTTATCAATATACTTATTCAATATTTACTTATCAATCATACGATTCCATGATTTTTTCTTTATATAGTCTCTTAAATTGATCGGTAGTTAAACATTTTTTCAGGTCATAATCCAGATTGTTCCATAATTTTACTCCATATACTGAAATACACATTTGCTTTAATGTTGTTCGTAAAAAAAACTCTTTTAAACTCAGGCTTCTTTCTATTTTTCCATCATTTGAAATCAAAACAAAAAACTTCTGTAGCTTCACTGGCAGTAACCTCTTTTTTGCCCTGAACATAATTAGTAAAGTTTTCAAATTAACCAAATCCCTGAATTTCATAATTTTTGATTCAATAAAAAGTCTATTGGTATGTTCTCTAGCGTCTACTTTATATATAATTCTCATAGCTATGTGTTGCCCCAAACCTCTATACAATAAGTCAAGTATGGAACAATAATGAATAATATAATATATGAAGTGTTGATGACTCCAAAATACTTTTTACTTTATTTAAAAGTCCAATACTTTTACACAGTTTTTGTTTAATATATTTTATATGGGGTTTCCAATTTAACTAAACCCAATAGGACTTACATCATGCTAGGACGTAACGACGCTGAAAGATCAGCTACAGAATGTATGGTGAAGGGAAACGATCGGCTTATTTCAAACTATAAGAAAACAGCATGCTGTTTTACATGTTTTCAAAGACTTAAACTAGAGTTTTCAACATTAAATGAATACAGCATGAGTGGGAAAACTTCTTACCCAAGTCTTTGCCAAATCCAGACTGCTTGAAGCCTCCAAAGGGAGCAGCCACATCTGTCTTGTTGTAGGTGTTAACAAAAACAGTGCCAGCTTCTAGTCTCTCACTGATGTAGAGAGCTTTGCTGATGTCCTGTGTGAAAACTCCCGATGCTAGGCCATACTCTGTGGCATTGGCCCTCCTCAGGACATCATCTACATCACTGGAGCATGTTGGGAGAAACCAGACCACTCAGAATTCAGTCACAACAGAGACACAAAGATAAGTAAAGAAACGGTAATATGAGCTACTGGCATGCTGTTAGCACCCTTGGATGTTGGCGTACCCACTCTTGAACTTGGAAATGATCATAACTGGTCCAAATGACTCTTCTTTAGCAATGTACATGTGGTCTTGGACATCGGTAAACACCGTGGGCTCGAAGAAGAAACCTGGAAGCAGGAATAAACATGGTTTTGATTCATTCATCCATAGTTCATCATGGATCCCCCATGTTTGCTGCTCCAGCTGCTTCACCTGGGCGCTGCACTTGCTTGCCTCCACAGACTAGAGTGGCTCCCTCTTTTACACCAATCTGACAATATTCCACCAATTTGTCCAGATGTGCTTTGTGATTCTGAGGGCCGTGGTCTGTGGAGCGGTCCAAAGGATCACCAATCTTCATCTTTTTGACCTCTTCAACCTGGGATTAAAGGCGAGATGACTACTGGACTTTACACAGTTCTGCATTGGCCTGTTTTTTCTTATTTTACAGGCAGATCTTTGACAGGATGAGACAAAAGGTGTCATGATTTTTACCACTTTGACTAAAAACTGGTCATGGATGGAGTCCTCCACAAACAGCCTGCCAGCAGCGATGCAGTTCTCTCCTTTATTGAAGAACACCGAGCTCATGCCCTAAAACACAGACAACAAACACATTTTACACTAGAAAAGTTCTCCAACGTCTCCAAAAACTCCACAATGCTTCTGTTTATCAGCAAACTTTCTTATGACTGAGGGGATGATGAAACCTGATTTCCTGTTGCACAGACAGAGGTTTCTGAATCATGACAGAGGAGCACTCTGAGTGAGGCTAGATCACCACCATGGCACCAGTGGATCGGATCAAACCCTCAGAAAACACCCATTTGACAAAATCTAGATTAAACAAAGTTTTCTCCATCGAGGATATTTTAGCTCTTTTGAGTGGGAGACAACTGATGTGTTTACACCTGGGCCTGCCCAGTAGGAGGGCATTTATTAAAACCTCTTCAGTGAGTGAGTCCTCAAGAACTGCTAACCCAATACATACCAAACAAAACACTATAATGTTAATAAGAATAATTCTTAAATACGTGTTGATTCTGATCTAAAATAAGACTCATTCCGTTTAATCTTCATCTAAACTGCATGTTTCTCAGCATCAGGATTATTAAAAATATGTTTGGAAGCTAGAATCCACTCACATCTCCAATATTATTAAAGCCTTTAAATGAAAAAATAAGGATCATACAAATAAAAACAAAACACGCTGTTAACATGATCAGAACTATAAGTTCAGCTGTAGAGGTTCCTGTTTCTGATTAACCTGTAAACTGTTAATATCAGATTTACTTTATTTGCCAAGAGAGTTCACCGGTGTTGTCTTGGCAACCATTTATATTACACTTTCAGCCATTGCTGAAAGTGCATGTGATGCCATCAGTTCAGTTGTCTCTAATCTACAAACTCAGCACCCCAATGCATTTGTGGCTATATCTGGTGATTTTAATCATGCCTCGCTCTCTGCTACACTTCCAACATTTCAACAGTTTGTAAGCTGCTCCACCAGAGAAAACAAGACATTGGATTTGTGTTATGCAAATGTAAAGAATGCATACATGTCCAAAACAAGACCTCCTCTGGGACAATCAGACCACAATCTTGTTTTTCTCTGCTCAGAATACAAACCACTTGTTCAGAGGCAACCTGTGACAAGAAGAACTGTGAGAAAATGGTCACAGGATGCTGACGAAGCCCTGCAGAGTTGTTTTGAAACCACAGATTGGATGACTCTCTGCCAAGGATATGAAGAGGACATCAATGCCATGACTTGATGTGTCACTGACTATATAAACTTCTGTGTGGACAACATCATACCCACCAGAACAGTGAGATGTTTCGCTAATAACAAACCCTGGATTACCAGTGAATTGAAGAATCTGCTAAATGAGAAAAAAGAGCCTTCAAGGAGGGAGACAGGGAATTATTGAGGAGTATACAGAAGCAAATGAAGATCAAGATCAGAGACAGCAAGGAAGCATACAGGAAGAAGCTGGAGAACAAACTACAGAGGAACAATATCAGAGATGTCTGGTCAGGGATGAAGAAGATCACAGGCTTCAAGCAGAGGAAGCATTGCACAGATGGCAGCCTGGACACAGCCAATGAACTGAACAAGTTCTTCAATAGGTTCAGTTCAGGAACAAACCCAGCATCCTCCTCGCCTGTCCCCAGCCAATCAGACATCCCATCCTCCTCTGATCCAACAATTTCCTGTCACACACCAGCTCTTTTGTCCACTAACACAGTCATGGTCTCTTCTGGTTCTATAAATCTGTCTTCAACCAAGTCAGGAGATGCTGCTGCTCCATTTACCTCCCCCTCCCACCTATCTGTCTCTAGAAGTCAGGTGAAGAGGCAGCTGGAGAGACTGAACAGGAACAAGGCTGCAGGTCCAGACGGTGTCAGCCCCAGAGTACTGAAGGCCTGTGCAGAGCAGCTCTGTGGGATTCTGCAGCACCTCTTCAACCTCAGCCTGGCCCAGGAGAAGGTTCCAGTCCTGTGGAAGACATCCTGCCTTGTTCCAGTTCCAAAGAAAACTCGCCCATCAGTCAATGACGACTACAGACCGGATGCCCTGACATCCCACATCATGAAGGTCCTGGAGAGACTCCTGTTGGTCCACCTGAATAAGCAAACTAGAACATATCAGGACCCGCTGCAGTTTGCTTATCGCCATGGAGTTGAAGATGCCATCATCCAGCTGCTTCAACCAACCCACTGTCATCTGGACAAAGCAGGCAGCACTGTGAGGGTCATGTTCTTTGATTTCTCCAGTGCATTTTACACAATCCAGCCTGATGTACTTTGCCAGAAACACCAGAAGACACAGGTGGGGGCCTCAGCTATCGCCTGGATTAAAGACTACCTGACAAACAGACCACAGTTTGTGAGGCTGAAGAACTGCACATCAAACCAGGCGATCAGTAACATTGGAGCACCACAGGGGACTGTACTCTCACCATTCCTTTTCACCCTGTACACCTCAGACTTCCAGTACAAATCAGAGACCTGTCATCTACAGAAATACTCAGATGACTCTGCAGTTGTCGGGTGTATCAGAGATGGACAGGAAGCTGAGTACAGAGAGCTGGTGGAGCGCTTTGTGGCATGGTGTGGAAACAATCATCTGACCTTGAACGTGAACAAAACAAAGGAGATGATTTTAGACTTCAGAAGAAACAGGGTGGAGTCAAACACTGTTTCCATCATGGGAGAAGAAGTGGAGGTGGTTGAGGAATACAAACACCTTGGAGTTCACCTGGACAACAGACTGGACTGGAGAAAGAACAGCGAAGCTGTTTACAAGAAGGGACACAGCAGACTGCACTTTTTGAGGACGCTTAGGTTCTTCAATGTCTGTAGCAAGATGCTGCAGATCTTCTACAAGTCTGTTGTTGAGAGTGTAATCTCTTCAGCCATCGTCTGTTGGGGCAGCAGCATCAGAAGCAGGGACCTGAAAAGGCTCAACAGCCTAATGAAAAAGGCTGGTTCTGTTCTGGGGACGACTGTGGAACCACTGGAGGAGATGATGCAAAGAAGGATTCTCCAGAGAATCAAGAAAATGATGGACAACCCTGAGCGTTCTCTTCACAAGACTGTCCGACAACGGAAGAGTGTCTTCAGTCAGAGGCTTCTTCAGTTTGGCTGCAACACCGACCGCTACTGGAGATCCTTCCTGCCAACAGCCGTTGTAATATACAAGAACTCTTTGATGACTTGATTATTATTATTATTCTGAGCTACTACAGCAATCAATTTCTCTCTGGGATTAATAAAGTTTTTTTGAATTTGAATTGAATTGAACTGAATTGAATTAGAGCTTTTAAAAATCTGAAAATTTTGAGAACTATTTTCAGAAAAGAGGTCTCAGGTGGTTCTGACCCAACCCAAACAGCAGCAGGTATGAACTCCGTGATTCTCTGATTCTAACTGGGAACACTGGTTTTCCTATCAGGATTATTCCTGTCTTTTACTTTATTTCTTCTTATCTATGAGCCATCACAGGTGTTTTTAACACAGTGAACAAATTTATTTGTTCCATCCATTTTGAGCCGAAAACCTCAAATGATGCATTAACGTGACTTTTCAGAAACTAAACATGCATGCTAATCTCTGGTGCTGAACCTGTAATCTTGCATGGATTTTAGGTTTTTATCAGGGCAGATAAGGAAGTTCTCCTTCTTCTTCAAGGGACATACGACTGTGTTATATCCATGCACCATGAAGCAGCAGGTCACAGCGGTGCTTTGTCGTAATGTAGTGCGTACTCTAAACTGGCTCCTGGAAATCCTTCGTGTTACTTCTTACTTTTCATTTGCAGTCGACATGATTAGTTAGTTCACCAGGAATAATTTGTATCATGATTGAGTAATTTTAATGACTTTGCACACAAAATGCTACTTTCTGCTGTTTATGCTAAGCTAAAGCAGACAGACTGAGCTGGTTACAAAATGTTTTTTTCCTGCTTATCCAACTATGAGGATTATAGCAGTGGAATATCCCTTTAAAACACTTTTGTATCAGAACTACATTTAGAGACGTGAACACTTCAAGTCCCCGGTGCAATCTGCAGAAAATGTGTATATTTATTTATTTATTTTTTTTTTTTTTTGCACATTGTGCACATGTGAGCAAGTCTTTTACTATCTAATTATTCTGAATAGAATTAAAACAACACACCATGCGTACGGCCTTGTCCATGTCACAGTCACTGCAGATGATGAGGGGGGATTTTCCTCCAAGCTCCAAAGAGACTTTCTTAATGTTGCTGACAGCACAGCTTCAAACCAAGCAAAGAGCAAATTATTAGTTATATATATATATATATATATATATATATATATATATATATATATATATATATATATATATATATATATATATATATATACTGTAAACCCAAAGGTTCAAAATAATCAAATACATTGAGTAAATAAAACTCATAATAAAAAAATAGTTTATAGAACTCAAATGTGTTGAGCTTGTTCAACCTTTTCCTTGTTTTAAGTAATTGAACTCAAATGTTTTAATTAATATGAACTATTTCTTTTTTTTAAGTAAGCAGAACTTTAATTAATCAATGAAGGACAACTTAACTTTAATGAGTAATATTGACAAAAAATGATTGATTTATTATTTTATGTTTCTATATTATTCCATTCGTCTTTACGTCACCCCTAAAATGTGTCTGATAAAAATACTTGTATCTTTTTTTTTTTGATTGTGGATTTCCAGGAAAAACAACCACAAACTAGCAATTTTGATGGATTGCAGGAACAATAAACAACTGCTGGGCGTGGTGCATTGTGGGTAGTCAAATTTTCTGTTATTTTGCTCTATTTTGGGGTGTTTATGCATGTTCATTGTGGAGGATTGTTGTTCTCAGTTATTATTTCATTCAGTGTTGCAGATGTGGTGTTACTTTTTGTATCATGTTTGCCCCATAAGTGAGGAGGTTGGTCAAAGTAATGCTGTATGGCTGTGCCGTCCCATTGTTATTAATATTGTGGTTGTTCACACCAGGTACTCTTGACTTGACTTTGAGTGTCCCACTTTCATTGGCTGTTAGCATCTAGGGGTGTGTGAGTCATGATCTGGTGTTAGTTACTGCCTTCACCAGCCTGTCACATTGTCACTTTTAAGTAAATTAAGCTTATTTGGGTTAGGGTTTAATAGGTCCATTTAGAGTTCATATAAGATGTATTATTTAAGTTAGTAAAAACGTAATAAAGTTCAAATAAAATAAAATATGCAAGTTTAGTGAAATAAAACTTTTTAAGTTGCTTAAGTGCTAAGTTATAGGTTGGAGGTAGTTAAATGCTTTGATTTTATTCAGGTCATATTTTTTAGGTTATGGTAAACATAGTTTTTGATAAGTTAACTTAAAAATTATTAGGTAATCAGTTTCCTCATAAATTTTGAGTTCAGTGAACTTATTCGGGATTGCAGTGATATATATATATATATATATATATATAATTTTTGGCCTGTACCTTGTGTGTGTGTGTGTGTGTGTGTGCGTGCGTGTGAAATGCAATGCTTTTAAATAACACCATTTCAGAAGAATATTGAATAACACAGCAGTAATGTTTAGTCTCTCTCACCTTTTCATGATGTGTTTACCGACTTCAGTAGAACCTGTGAAGCCCAGTTTTCGTACGTCCGGATGGTCAGACAAGCACTGCCCCACCAGAGCTCCTTTCAGAGACATACGAGTTCAGACTTCCACGTTATCGTCACATATCCAGTCCGTTTACAGTCAATGGTTTAGATTTTACTGTCTGGTGAAGCTGAAAGCTTGTTTTCTTACCTGATCCAGGTAGAATATTAATAACACCTTTAGGCAGTCCTGCTTTTGCTGCCAATTCAGCAAATTTCAGTGCTGTAAGTGGAGTCACCTGTAAACCGAGTTACATAGATGAGTGAAACAGAAGTACTACTTTAATTGTGTGTTGCACATGCAGGTCTAACCTGAGCAGGTTTGAGCACCATGGTGTTTCCAGCTGCCAGGCAGGCTGCGGCTTTCCAGGCCAGCATCATCAGGGGATAATTCCAGGGAATCACGATGGCACACACTCTGGAGGAAATGAAGGAAAGACCTTATGTCTAGTAAAGATAACACACTGCCAGGCTCTAACAGACAAACAAAAACTATAAAACTCTACAGACATGCTGGACTTTAAGAGAATGTGCTTAGTTAATCCCAGGTACATGGTTCAAGATTGTTAAAGTAACCTCAAAAACACTTAAATGCTAGTATCTGACCCTGTTCTATGAAATGTTATCTTTTACAATATGTTCTAAATTTTGACTTTCACCCTTAAACTCGTCTGTAGTACTGGAACCTGTCTCACTCTGGATCGTAAAGCATTCCAAAGAGAAAGCTCGACCACCTCTGGTTTTATACTTCGAGATTTTGTTCCAGTGACCGACGAGATCATGTTGAGACCGTTACAAACGTTAGGGATGTGCCAAAAGGAAAGTTCTAGGCCCAAACCGAAAACCAAAAATGAGGAAACCAAGGCCAAACAACCAAAAACCCAAACACCAAAAGAAATGATGTCACTAATTAGAACCATTGTTTTTATGGCTACTATGTGAACTAACCTCACTAAATACAAGGCGCTGTAATAAACCCGTTACAAAACCATGAAACTATTTATGTAACACTATAACTCTAAATAAAATGTTTCACTTGACCCACTCATGTGTATATTAATAAATTACAAATAAAAAAATTATACATTATAAATGTACTGGATTATTACAACTGAAAGGCCTGCTCAGAAACACTGCTAAATTAACCCTTTAGGCATCAAAGTCGCAATATTGCAACGAGCTTCATTGTTGGGTTGAAAGTTAGAATATGGAACATTTTATTAAAAGGTTATATTAAAAAATAATTAACATCACCCATGGGGCTTTCAGAGGTGAGCAGAATGAACGTACAAGTTCTCCTTTTAAAGCTATAATCAAAAAGATAATCAGAATTGTACACTGTTTGTTACGGCTACCAGCCTGACCAATGGCAGGAGCCAGGATCACCCAGCCCCGGTGATCAGCCTGACACCGCCCGTCCTCCTCTCTTCCAGGCTGCTGAGGAGCACAGCTGAGCTGAATCCTGCCGATTACCAACACCTGGATAAAAAGGCTGTGCCTTCAGCCGTCTGAGAGGCAGCAGTGCAGGGGTTCTGCTGTCCTCCAGGCCTCAGTTGGTTTTAAACCCCTTTGTTTGGATGAGTTTTTACTTTTAAAGTTTAAACTCTGAGTGATCCAGAGGGATCTTTTTGATGTTTGTTTAAAAAGGTTAACTTGGTTTGCTGCAACTTTATTGACACCTTCTGTTTGGTAAAGCTTTTAATATCAGTTTTTACCAGGTGTTTTTATAGTTGGTAATTTGTGTAATGTTAACCTTTAGCGCGACTCATGTTGCGAATGACCGCAGTCACCAATTCTTGTTATGTGTCTTACCCACGTATGTCTGATCTCTGAATTGTGTGTGCTGAAACTGAATTTCATTTCTCTGTATGTCCTGCACATGTGGTAGAAAATGACAATAAATGACTTTGACTTTTTGATCAATCTTGCAATGTGATGGTGTCGGGAGAATGACAGAATGTCTAAGTTCCTGACAGAGTGTTGACTCCTTCAGTATCATCCCAACACAAAGAAGTCACTGATCAAAAAGCGGGTCTATTCTGAAGAGGGGACTTGTACGTGGATGGCTGTGTCCCGTCTTCAGTATTTCCATCTATTTGGGAAAGGCAGTTTGCTGAAAGAGATTTATTGTTTGGTTGGCTTCCACTTTGTTCATCTACTGTTACAAAATTGCCATTTTGAATTTTACTGGGTCTCAGTCTTTTTATTCTTGCGACCACTTTGAGGAGTGTTGACCAGCTTAAAAACCTTGACAAATGGCTAAGGATATCACCTTATTTATCAAAGTCGTGATGACTTGGACTGATTTGATTTCGGGATCTCCAACCAACAGTGCAGTCGAAGGACTGGGTATGTGGAGAATGTTGTTATCCAACAGAAACTTCGGACCCGACAGCCAACAAGTTGACATGATACCTGATGCACTGAGACATCTAGAGGTATAATCCGCGGGGTTCTGTGTTGTGTCAAGATAGAGCCACTGCTTGGGATCTGTGGTTTGCCTTATACATTGCACACGATTAGCAACAAAGACAAGGAACCTTCGGGCTTTGCTGTTAATATAGGCCAAGACTATGTGAGAGTCAGTCCAAAAGAACTCTTTATCAATGTGAATCCCAAGCTCCACTTATAACATACTACTTATTCTAGCTGAGGTGACAGCAGCAGAAAGCTCTACTCGTGGGATGCTTGTAACCTTAGTAGGTGCAACTTTTGTTTTAGTCATAATGAGGCCACAATGAACTCTATCATTACTGAGGTATCTGCCATAAGAACACGCCCCATCTCCTACATCACTAGCATCACAAAAGTGATGCAGTTCCACCTTCACAACATCTGTTGGGTCGGGTGGATGGTAATGTCTAGGAACTGTAACAGATGTTACGTCTTCCAAATCATCTCTCCAGGCCTCCCACAGTGGCCTCCCACAGTGAGCGCAAGTTTTCTGGAAGGAGTTCATCCCACTTGACACCTTGGCGACAACAACTCCTGTAGGATACTTTTTCCTCTCAAAGTGAAAGGAGCCACAAACCCTAGAGGGTCAAACAACGATGAGATGACAGACAGTGTGCTCCGACGAGTAGGAGGTTGTTCCTTGGTGCTTAAATCGAAACAGAAGGTGCCATTCTTCATTGACCCCTGAATACCAAGCACAAGGCCTTGAGAAGCTTCACCAGCATTAAAAGCGAGTGATTCATTGGTGGCAGCTCTTTCCGAGGGAGCAAGATGGGAGAGTGCCTCACTTTGGTTAGAGCTGAACTTATGAAGACACAACCCTGCTACTCTAAAAAGTGCTTAGGTTTTGGTTATGCGTTCTTGTGCTTCTTTGATTGATGGAACACTGGTTAGACCGTCGTCTACATAAAAGTTCCATTCAGCAAAATCAGAGGCTTTGGGGTGGTCTGTTCTGTGTTGTTGTGGCAGGTATTTGAGTTCAAAGTTAGCACATCCAGGAGAGGAACCGGCGCCACATAAATGGACAGCCATTCTGTGTTCTCTGGGCTCTGTATTCAATTGTCCATCCTGCCACCACGGAAATCTCAAATAGTTACACATGTCTGGACAAACAAGAAACTGGTAGAACATTCTTTCAGTGTCACAGATTATGGTTACATTTTCTCTCCTGAAATGAAGGAGTACACCCACCAATGAGTTGATCAAGTCTGGACCTGTGAGAAGAGTGTCGTTCAGTGAGATGCCTAGAAACTTGGTGGAACAGTCAAAATGGCTCTTGGCAGGTTTTTTTGGGTGGTACACCCCATGATGTGGGATGTACCACACGGTTTCATCATTGGACAGAGAAGGAGAAGGGACTAATTCGGCTTGGAGCGTTTTGCGGCCACCAGACTTGGGACAAAACTGGTAATGATCCTTCCGCAGGTTCACCTACGGAAACCTTGTTACGACTTTTACTTCCTCTAGATAGTCAAGTTTGATCGTCTTCTCGGCGCTCCGCCAGGGCCGTGGCCGACCCCGGCGGGGCCGATCCGAGGACCTCACTAAACCATCCAATCGGTAGTAGCGACGGGCGGTGTGTACAAAGGGCAGGGACTTAATCAACGCAAACTTATGACCCGCGATTACTGGGCATTCCTCGTTGATGGGAAATAACTGCAATCCCCAATCCCTATCACGAGTGGGGTTCAGCGGGTTACCCACACCTCTCGGCGAAGGGTAGACACACGCTGATCCACTCAGTGTGGCGCGCGTGCAGCCCCGGACATCTAGGGGCATCACAGACCTCCTGAGATACATACCTATCCTTATGGTGTCTCTCATTAATATCTGACTCCAGGACCTTAAGTACATCTGTAAATACTGGCGTAGGCATTTCTTTGACCTTTATTATGTGCACATAACTATGGCTATCTTCCCTTTCTAGGTGGGGATTACAGGACCTGATAATACTCCATCCTAATATGGTTCTTTGAGCAAAGGGTTCATTTACTTTCCTGTGACGACTTCTAAAGAGGCTATTACTGATGGACGGTCATAACCGATCAATCTAGCCAACTTCACAGTAATGCAATGGCTGCAACTTGTTTGCTAAGTTTTTAAGGTGGGACCACTGAAGTGCAGTTTCATGAGTAGGAATGTGAGACTTGTCAACTGGGATAAAATCACGTGAATAAGTTTGTTTGATTTGAATACGAGTTTTCGGGTCGAACCCACGCAACTATAAGTTGTCAACAAGTTTACTAGCGACAACTGTGTTAACCGAGGTCATCGTGCTAAGTTTCAAATGAACAGGTTGAGCATTAATACCCAGTTCTGAAGCCAAATCCTCTAAAATAAATTATTTCACAGCAGAGCATACGTAAGTATTTCTGTGGCTCAGATAAAACGGACACAAAAACGGGTAGTATGATAGATGTAGAGGAGGTTTTTCTTGTCAAAACATGAGTCATGATATTTTGCGCCTCAGTTGGGGTTTCAAGATCCTCAGTTTTCATCAGTTTAGGTTCAGTTACTCTATGTGCAGACAGGTCGGGTAACGTCGTCCACACTTTCTGCAGGAGTGACGTCCTCAGCATTCTTTGGATAAATCACCCTTTCTCAGACATCCAAAGCAAAGATGATTTTCATAAATGAAAGATTTCTTGTCATTATCAGACATTGCTTCAAACGTTGGACACAGAGTCACAACATGAGACAAACAAGGTGGTTTAGATCCAAAGGAGGATACTGAAGGTAAACTAGACTTGGTGGGTTGCAAAGTAGACTTTGGTTGGGTGTTGGTACTAAATGTTTAAGCTATTTTAATGAAGGCCCTCTCATCGCTTTTTCCTTCCTTCAATCCTGGGACTGCTACAGTGAAAACTCATAGCAAAAGAGGACACCATTCCACATTAGTGTGGTTTGTTCGAGTCAAAGGTAACTTGTGCGTGAAGAACCTGCAGAAAAGGATTTTTGTGTGGACTATTGACATAAGAGACTATTGCTGTGCACATTGTATGGTGAATCATGTACTTTCAAATCAATTAGAAAATTATATTTGTAAATAAACAAACAACAACTGATAACTACAAACTTTGCAAGTCGAGAATTTGGTCTAATTCACTAGGCTAGAGTAAGCTGTGAACAGAGTGAGTATTAGGTCTGTGGACCTTTGGAGGAAGAAAAAAACATTTCTGACACCAGCTAAACCAAGAATAAGTAAATTGATGTTAAAGGAGCTTTGATTTTATTTTAAATCCTTGTGTAATAAAAACTCAGTTTGATTTTACTATCATGCACATGCCTTTTTATGCTACCCACTCACCCCTTAGACCAGCCAAACTCCAAAAATGCCAAAAATGGGAGGTGGCCACCACCGCCATTTTGACCGTGTCGCAGGTTCCGTCAAGCCCAGACAATTCCACAAAAGGGAAGAGAAGTGGAGCTGAGGGTGGGGCTGTAAGGCTGGGATCAACTGAGGACACCCGGTCAAACTAGCTACAAGCTAAACTGAAGCTAACCCAAAGCTAACGCGGAGGTGGGAGCTAAGCTAACGGAGGTAGCAACCTAGCTACAACCGGAGTTAACTGTGCACAACACCAGGGGAGGGGAGAACCGAGTGGAAAACATCGCTCTCCCGAGAGCTCCACAAGCTGATAGTCGGAACCCAGCTCCACCAACATGTTATATTTCAACCCATTTTCTAAAGTGCAGCATTATGTTAAATGCACTGGGTTTTACCCTATTACATTTAAATTTCATGGTTAAACAGTACATGTTAAAATCTAATTTCAGCTCGGTAATGACCTTAAATACATAAATATAATTTTACTTACAGAAAAAAATGAAGTGGAGACTCCTTGGACGCTCTATTAGTGCAATTAATGCCACAGCAAGTCATTTTGTCCAACAATTGCACAAAAAATATCCAAACAAGAATACACAAACACAGAGACTCAAAATCCTGGAACAGTTTTCAGGTGAGACCGAGGCTCTACCGAGGCCTTTCCACGGAGCTAGCTCTGTGGTCACGTGGGTCAGATGCTCATTAATTATACAGAATTTTAGGCTTTTAATACACTTAAACAGAAGAGTGAGAAAAAAATTCACCCCCCTCAGAGTTGTCATGAGTGTAAACTAGATCATTTAAACCAAAAACATGTTCTGGTACCAGGCTGTAAACATGTTTATTTCTGCTGTGAAATTGGTATTTTTAACATGGGAGTCAATGAGGATTTGCTCGCTTCTGACACCAGCCCCTAGTGGATGAGGGTGGAACTGCAATTTATTTCACTTCCGCGTTGGCCTCAATTTTTCACCCGCACTGTGGGGGCTTGAGTGATATATAATCATACTTTGTTTAATGAATAATTAGTTTTAAATCCAAAGTGTTTTAATACAGCGTCCTATACTTTACATTAACGAATGATGGTTTAAATGAATATTTTTCCTGTAATAATTTATTTCAGATCTTAAATTACACCAGATTAGTAATTGTTGATTTTAATCATTTAATCCATCAATATATTCACACCTCATGATATTATAATTAATGTTTAACATTTTTGCTTCACACTAAGAATAACCTCTCTAAGTATCTGGGCGAAGTAGTGAGTGCCTGAGGTATTTTGGTAACACCTTTAAACTTGTCAAATTCTCATTTGTCTGCAATTGTAAACACAAGTTCATAAAGCCTAGGTCACTTCCTGATCTGACCAGTTCTCTGTCACTTCCCGGTTCGGCCGACCGGGTGAGCAAAACACTTGGGACAATCCTCTCTTTTGACCTCAAGGTCAAAGCCTCTCTGCAACACTTGCGAGTGGTATCAGATGCTAAATAGATACGCCAGCTTCCTGCCGTCACCTGGAAGGTATCTTAGAGCAGACAGGTCATATTCGGAGCTGAAGTACTTGTTCCGATTCCCAGAGATCCATGCCACCTGCTGTTTGTCCATGCCAACCTCTTGAACCCCTGGATCGCACGAGGGCTTTCAACACAAAGGGTTTGTAGATTTGCACGACGGCGTTGGATGGTTTTATGAATAATCTATAGCTTATTAAACCAGTCAAACGGATTTTAAAACCCAGATATCACACAATCTCTCAGATACTTAACAAGGTTTTGCTTCTAAATATCTAGCCTACATTCCATCATTTCATTCATACTTTGTCATGTATAGTCATTAGTTTAGAAAGATAGAATTAAATTAATTTTTATAAACTATATCCTTGACTCTGCCTGAATTAATATGACTAAATAGATCAAAGAACCTAAGGTAATATTAAATAAAATATTCAAAGATCAATCAGATTGATCATTCGTATTTAAATGTAATATCACATTTTATTGATCATTCATTTGATAAATGTAGCAATATGGCATACCCAAGTTACCTATTTCCAGAGTCAGTTGGATATCAAAGGCTAAATAATTCTGATGATTCATAATTTTATGAAGCATTACAGCTTGTTGAATACCTTTCATATTTTATTGACAGTTTATTAATTGTGACTACTTACAAAACGTTACATGGTGATATTGAAAATTTCCAGTCATCAAATGAATCAAACTGTTCAAAGCTTAAAATTCTGAGAAAAAAAAACATTTTTTTTTTGTTTCTCACCCGATTGGTTCCTTCTTGGTAAAAGTGAGATTCCGATTAGGCCTGGCCTGGTTGATAGGAATGGTACTGCCCTGTCAGGAAATGACATTATTAATATTAATGTAAATCATTAATATAATTTGGGGAAGGGGTGTGTGTGGAGGGCTTAAATTAACTTGTTACAGGAACTAGCAAAGTGCCACATCAGGGGAGGGCTTGACACAGCACAATTTGGAGTAATTTTTCCTGATATTTGGACATCCTCAAATTAGCTAATGCTAACTGGTTCTAACTGTTTCCTGGACACTAAACCAAAAACAGTCTTTCCCATCATGAGTCAAGATGGTGAGTCCATGAATGTTAGTGACAGTGTGATGTAAATCTGTCACGATTTTCTAATCCTAGAGTTTCACTGTCTATTTTCCATCAGACGCTAATGCAGGAGATAGGTGTTGGAGACTATTTTGATGTTCAGCCTGCATGAAAAACTCAGAGTGACCCATTATAACCAGAAATAATCATAAAAAAGTCTCTTTTTTCAGTGTTCCACACCTTTAAACGTTTTAAATGTACAGAGTATACATGGATTAGAGGATGAGATTTGGGATCCCATTTCCCCACCTGGTTGGTCTTCTCATTTATCTTACTTGGATCTTGTCACACCAGCCAGCAAAGTAGCGAAACGTCTGAATAGACATGCCCACATGAGTCTTGAGAGCCAAAGTGTAAACAGCTCCAGAGTCAATGGCTTCAATAGTAGCAAGCTCCTCCTGGTGCTGCTCCATCAGATCAGCCAGCCTGTTAAAAGAGTAGCAAACAAACCACAAAGTTTAAAACACAATACATGATGGTATTCTTGAGTCACTATCAGAAAATGTAGCCAAATACATCCATTAATAATATTTTCTCATCACAACTTTTTTGGTGTGGATAAGTAAATCCACTTGAGAACTGTAGCCATAAAAGTTATGAACAGAATCTGTGACAAAGGACAGCCTTGGCAGACTTTAACTCTCACCAGAAAAGAGCCCGACTTACTGCTGGCAATGCGGACCAAGCTCTGGCACCAGTCATATCCCTATATAACAGCCCATATCAGAGGACCTGGTACCCCACACTCCGGAAGTACCCCCTAAATGGCGTCTCGAGGGATGCGGTCGAATGCCTTCTCCAAAACCACAAAACACATGTAGATTGGCAGGGCGACCTCCCATGCACCCTACAGGAACCCCCTAAGGGTATGGAGCTGGTTCAGTGTTCCTTGGCCAGGATAAAAACTGCATTGCTCCACCTGAATCCAAGGTTTGACAATCCATTGGACCCTCCTCTTCAGAACCTCTGAGTAGACTTTACTAGGGAGGCTCATGAGTGTGATCCACCTGTAGCTGGAACACATGCAGTGGCCCCTCTTTTTAAATAGGGGGATTACCACCCCAGGCCAACACAACCCTATAACATCCAGAGCCTTGCAGAAATCTGGGCAGATCTCATCTACCCCAGGAGCCTTTCTACCATGGAGCTTTTTGACTACCTCAGTGACCTCAGCACCAGAGATTGGAGAGCCCAACCCAAAGTCTCCAGACTCTTCTTCCTCACTGGAAGACGTGCCGGTGGGATTGAGGAGGTCTTCGAAATACTCTACCCACCAATCCACAACTTCCCGAGTAGAGGTCAACAGCACACCATCCCCACTATAAACAGTGTTGGTAGTGCGCTGCTTTCCCCTCCTGAGATGCTGGATGGCGGACCGGAATCTCCTTGAAGATACGGAAGTCTTGCTCTATGGTCTCACTGAACTCCTCCCACACCCAGGTTTTTGACTCTGCAATCACCTGAGCCACATTCCACTTGGCCTGCCTGTACCCATCAGCTGCTTCTGGGGTCCTACAGGCCAAAAAGACCTAATATGACCCTTTCTTCACCTTGATGGCATCCCTAACTGTCGGTGCCCGCCATAACAGGCACTGACGACCCTGTAGCCACAGCTCTGTTCAGCTGCCTCGACAAGCGAAGCACGGAACATGACCCACTCTAACTCAATGTCCATCGCTGCCCCCGGAATGTTTTAGAAGTTCTATCAGAGGTGGGAATTAAAACTCCTTCTGATGGGAGACTCCGCCAGATGCAAGTGGTGCTCGCTGCAGAACCACAAAGGCGGAGCTGCACCAGAAGGTGGAGCTGCACCAGAGTCAGCCCCGCCCATTCCAGAATCAGCCCTGCCCATTCCATCAGAGTCAGTCCAATTCCTTCCAGTTGTCAGACTTGATAGCATTCTGGAACCAAAGAGGGTGTTATAGCTAAAAAATGCAAGATCGAGGATGGAGTTGAGAAGTTAATTGAACAGTTTTTGTAAAGGTTCCATATAATTGAAAATCTAACTTTTGGAACTTTTAATCATGTTATATTGTCATTTCCTCATAAGAAGCATGCCAAAGCAATTTTTAGCCTCATTCATGCATTTTCCTCCCATCTCAGCTTCAATTTGGTCTCCTCCCCCGAAGTGGGTCTGGTCTTGGTTCTCAAATCTGGATATTCTGTGAATTTTCTGACAAATTATTTCTGAAATGACCTCTACTGAGACACCGCCGAAAAACCATACAACCCATCTCAGAGACGCACTAGGCAGCACAATTAGATGTAACGCCGCATGAGTTATAACAGATGTGGTGGTGTAGTGGTTATGGAGTCAGGTTTACATGAAGTTTTGTGCAGGTTCGCCTCCCATTACTGTAAGTTTTAGGTAGTGTACAACCTCTTTTCTTCATTTCTAGCTACACTTGCCAGTACTATGTTTACAACAATTTACTGGTATACAGTTTAACATATAATGACTAATGTGTTTTTTTATTTATTTATTCGTTTATTTAGCCAGTGTGAGTCCATTTGTGAGCAGAGTTTCAACTAAAATGCTGTTTAGGAACGACCAAATTCAAAGAACTTTTACAGACATAAATATTTTGCTGAAAATAAACATTACAACTAAAATATAAACAAATTAAATGTTTCAGCTGGCTAAATAGATTGCTGACGACCCCACCGAGAATCGAACCAGCATCAGCTGAGGGGAAAGCAAAACTTAACTCAGACGATCTCACCACTAGACTACCAAAGCCCATTCAAAAGTCTGTAATGCTGTTATACACCATTTCTGTTAGACCGGCTGTGGGCAGATATTTGCTGAAAGAAACCTTTTCATTTCGAGATATATTCAGTCTTTGTCATGTAGCAAGTTATATTTATCTTGTTTAAATGGAGCATAGAACATAGCATTAACGACTGTAAACTAGTAACAGCCGTAATTCATGTGGGTCAGGTCAGTTTGCGATAAAGTTGAAAACAAAAACGGAAGTCAGTGGGCTAGGCTGAGTTTGCGTGAATGGGCGGGGCTGACTCTGGTGCAGCTCCACCTTATGATGCAGCTCCGCCTTTGTGGTTCTGCAGCGAGCACCCTCTCGCCAGATGTTCCCAGCAGGCCCTCACAATACGTTTGGGCCTACCAGGTCTGACTGGCATCCACCCCCACCATTGAAGCCAACTCACCACCAGGTAGTGGTCAGTTGATAGCCATGCCCCTCTCTTCACCCTAGTGTCCAACAACAACAACAACAAAGCTGATCATCAAGCTGCAGCCTAAGGTATCCCAGGGCCAAGAGTATACATGGACATCTTAATATCCGAACATGGTGTTTATAATGGACAATCTGTGACGAACACAGAAGTCCAATAACAAAACACCACTCAAATTCAGATCAGGGGGCTGTTCCTCCGAGCAGGGTCCAACCAGCCGCGGGGCGTTTCTGCTTGGGCTACAGAAACGCCTTAATGGGGGTTACTGTAACTTTTCACTAACCAATCAGAATGGACATCAAAACACAATATTTTGTCTGTTACGTTTGTCAAAATAAAAGTCTACACTAATGAATCATGCTGCACCACCATGGCAATTTAAAAGTCGCCACACCTGTAGAATACATTTTTGTTGATTTTTTTAAAGATATTGTAATGACTCCAACTTGTTCTTTCTGTTTTAGATCTTTTTCCAGGTTACTGTTGGCCACAGCCCACGCCTTAACTCCAAGAAAAAACAATGTTAACAATCTCCGTTCAAACTAGCTCGTTATCTCTTTCCAAACAACTGAACCGGAACTCTCCACACAACCGGCCAAAAACACCGCCTTCAACATAAAAGTCCAACCATAACAAATTGTAACATGTTACACTATTGTTAAACAATGTAAGGCGTGAAATATATTGCCTATATTTACTAACCATAAACGTAGTTTGAAATCAATTTAAATATCATGAAACGTTTATATTTTACTTTATTTTGAAAAGCCACTCCTCCTTCCTGTCTAACTGCAGTGCTTCAGGTGCGCTTCTCACGAGAGACTGAAGTAGAGGAGAAAAGTCTGTGTCCCAACTTACTGACAGTCTCCCATTTTGAGTTAACTCCTTGTCTCACGTTTCGAGTTTAATATTTGTACAAACTGTGGATAAAGCAGGAGGCGGAGCTTAAACGCAGGTTCAGGTTCGCAGAGCGTGGAGTGCACTCACGTCAAACCAGCAACACAAAATGAAAGGGCAGGGTGAGCACAGATGATCAATAACTGTATTAAGAAAGATGGAGAACAAATAGATGAGCAGAGAAAATATCTTATTTTGAAATATCTGAAGTGAAGTAACATTTCAGGAACAAATTAGAAGAAGGGGCGTTCCCGTTTACAAACCAAAACGCCCCTTTCAACGACTGGCCAGGTATTTGTTCCTCCCCCAACACACTTCTCCAAGTGTTGCCCACGTGAGCAGTAAAGTCCCCCCAGCAGAACAACGTAGTCACCGGAAGGACCACTCCAGCACCCCCTCCAAGTAGGGCTGCTCAATTAATCGAATTTTAATCACGATTACGATCTGAGTTTTGAACGATTATAAAAAACAAAACAAGCCGATTATTTGCTCCTCCCGCCTGCGCTGCGCCGAGTTGCAAATGAAGCGCTCCTCCCACAGTGTTGCCAACTTTGTGACTTTGACGCTATTTCTAGCTTCTTTTCAGACCCCCTTCTCGACTTTTTAACTTAAAAGTACCTAGCAAACATCTCAGAAACATCTCTGGTGACCCTTAGCTACTTTCTGGATAACTATCGTCGACATTTCCTGCAGGTTAGCTAAACACTCCGCCTGCTCTCCGGACCATTCTTCAGGACATTAGGAAAGGGAATGATGTAGTGATGTGTCGGTCGCTAAAGACAGCTCTCGGAGCCGCCCTGCTCCTTGTTGGAGTAACCAGAGTGAGTGACACACACACCGCACCTGCGGACTCCTGAGCCACTAAAACGGCTAAATGTGCGGCGTGCTAAACACACGAGCAGCTTGCCCTGATTGCTGTGAGACCGGGTTGGGGGTGGGGGTGCAGCTGTGGTTGGGACAATTATTACATTAATTGATGGACTTGTAAATACATAGTTTATAAAAAGGTAGAAATAAGTTCCTCACGCTGATAAATAATAACTAATCTCTCTGAGGACACGGTGCTAGTGCACGCTCCAGCAGCACCTTGACACGACTAAATACGTATTACGCAACATTTTGTGAACATCAATTTATTTGCATGTATTTGTTATAAATGCCACTGTATAATTCTTGCTGTCAGTATTTGCCAGATATTGGTATTTGGGTCTGTACTGGTTAGACTTACATGAGTTAAACCAAGGTCTACAGCCCTTGGGTCATAGACTATGAGCTGTAAGTATATTGGTCTTTTTATCCTGGGAATCAGGAGTTCTTTTAGTGATCATCTTGTTTCTTATTTTTGTCCTGATTGTGCCCTGAGCAGTTTTATGACTGAATAAAAACAAATAAAATCAACATAAATTGAAAAATCGTCCTAAATAATCGTGATCTCAATTTCAGTCACCATAATCGTGATTATTATTTTTGCCATAATCGAGCAGCCCTACCTCCAAGGACTCCAAAATGGGTGGGTAGTCTGAACTGTAGTTTGGTGCATAAGCACAGACAGCAGTCTGGAACCGTCCTCCCCCATGTAGGCAGAGGGAGGCTACCCTCTCGTTCACTGGGGTAAACCCCATTGTGTGAGCACCAAGAACAGAATCAAAATCAGAACGGTTTTATTGTCATAAGTGCGAGAATCAGAACATTAGAGGATTGCTGCCGTACTTGGTGCAAGAAATAATCAATGATAAGCAAAATTAGAATTAAGAAATAAACACAATAAAATGTTAATGATATAGGGACACAATAATTAGGGAAGCAGCTACTACTGTACAAATCAGTGTAGGTACTGGTCAGAGCGGGTCAGTTCAGGTGCAAACACAGCCCCAGGGTCATGTGACTGGAACAAAGCAACTGGAGTGGGCAGTTCTAAGATTGACATCCATGAGTCCAACCACGGAAGGTTTTTGTGGCAAGAGGTTCTGGTCCAAATAGATCGGAGCCTCCTGCCAGATGGGAGCGAGTCGAAGAGACTGTGTCCAAGGTGAGACGGGTCAGCTGTGATCCGACCTGCACGCCTCAATGTTCTGGAGGTGTACAGGTCCTGTATGGAGGGGGGTTTGCAGCCAATGACCTTCACAGCAGAGCGCACGACACGCTGCAGCTTCTTCTTGCCCCTGGTGGTAGCTCCTGCATACCACATTGAAGATTGAAGAGGTGAGGATGGACTTGATGATTGCGGTGTAGAACTGCCTCATCAGCTGTGCTGGCAGGTTGAAGGTCTTCAGGTGTCTCATAAAGTACAGCCTCTGCTGGGCCTTTTTATGATGAAGGTGATGGTGGGCTCCAACTTGAGGTCTTGAGTGATGGTGGTGCCTAGGAAGTGGAATGGAATGAGTCCGCCATCATGATGGGAGTGTCAGACAGGGTTATGGGGGGAGCGGTGCTGTGTGCTTCTTAAAGTCCACAACAGCCTCCGCGGTCTTCTGGGTGTTTAACACCAGCTTGTTGTGGCTGCACCAGGACACCAGCCGTTCCACCTCCGTTCTGTAGTCAGACTCATCCCCGTCAGACATGAATCAGATGAGGGTGGTGTCGTCTGCAAACTGGATAAGCTTGACAGACTCGTGGTTGGAGGTGCAGCCATTGGTGAACAGGAAGAAGAGCAGAGGGAAGAAACACAAACATTTTCCCCCAGTCTCACTTGCTGCTTCCTGTCCATCAGGAGGTCAATGATCCACCTGCAGATTAGGTCAGGCACGTTCCTCTGGGACACTTTGTCTTGGAGGAGGTCTGGGAGGATTGTGTCAAAGGCAGAGCTGAAGTCCACAAACAGGACCCTGCCGTAGGTACCCGGGGAGCCCAGATGCTGCAGGATGAAGTGTAGAGCCATGTTGATGGCATCATCTACAGACCTGTTGGCTCTGTAGACAAACTGGGTCCAGGAGGGGGGTTGTGAGGGTCTTGAGGTGGGGCAGAACCAGGTACTCAAGTGACATCATGACCGCAGATGCCAGAGCCACAGGTTTGTAGTCATTGAGTCCAGTGATCCTTGGCTTCTTGGGGACAGGGATGGCGGGGATCTTGACATGTTTCCAGTGTGGAGTTTAAAATGCCCGTAAACACTGGGGCTAGCTCTTCGGCACAGTGAGTGGGAGGAGACACACCATCAGGGCCGGTGGGGGGCAACTAGTATTGAGACCACAGTATGTGCATATATAACTATATATGTATGGTTTTTTCCTTTGTTTGTTAAAAGAGCAGTTAAGCTTTACTCGGCAAACCTCATCATAGATAGGAGCAATCCCAAAATTGTTTATACAATTAATCTCTTAATAAATACTAATTAAAAAAACCTTCTATGCCTCCTTTACATGCTGCATGAGACCATTTTGCAGATCGCTTCAGAAATAAAATTTGTTGTACTAGATCCAATCTTTCCTCTGAGCAAAATGCTGATATGAACAAGTCTGAGGCACAGTTTTTATCTGAGGAAGCATTAGAAATGTTTGTCTTGGCTGATGCAGATACTTGCTAAAATTTTCTCCCACGTTAACTCCACTGCCTGCCTTTTAGGACCAATTCTCACATCACTTTTAAGATATGTTATGGTTTCTTTGAGAGTGAGATTTTAAATACACTGTGGTAAATAACTCTTCAGAGAGGCGTTTTTCCAACTGCCTTCAAAACTACACGAAGCCCCTTTTGACAAAGAATGATTTTGGTCTTAGTACTTCGATAACTACAGACCTGTATCCAACCTGTAGCAGAAGTTGTTTTTATGCAGCTAAACAATTTGACTTCAAACTGGTGAAGTGGATTTAGTTCTGTGGTTATCAGGAAACTGCGATGGACTGGCTCTCTGTCCAGGGTGTATCCCGGCTGATTGCCCATTGAACCCCCACCCCGCGACCCTACATGGACAAAGTGGGTTCAGACAGTGGATGGATGGATGGGTGGATGGTTATCGGGAAAATAAGTACCTCTCTATTAATCATTTATTTTAAAGAATACAGCACGACCAATGGGGAGATTAGTATGTTCAAAGGTCCAACATACCATACCATTTTATTTCTATAGCACATTTCAAACACAGCCTGAAAGCTGACCAAAGTGATGAATCTATTTTCGGTTGAAAACAAAGACTCAAAAAGGAAAAGCAGATTAGTTTTTTGCTATTTGTTTAAACAGAATAAAAATAATTTTAGATTGACACCATTCCAACATTAAAACTACCCAATGGATCGCCAGGGCAGTGAGTACAACCAAAATGCTAACCGCTAGCTGAATGACTATACAGTTTGAAGGGTAAGCGTCACGGACAACGTGGGAAAATAATCCTCCCCAGCTGTCTTTTCTCCGTGTGTGTGTGTGTGTGTGTGTGTGTGTGTGTGTGTGTCTGCCCTTACTTGTAGATGAGTCGACCTCGGTCTCTTGGGTTCATCTTGCCCCACTCTCCCTCTTCAAATGCCTCTTTAGCAGCAGCCACTGCCTTGTTAACATCACTTGTCTGGGCTAGGGACACATCACATATCACCTGAAAGAATGACAGATAAATCCTACAATAATTAGTAAACACTTTACAAAAATGCATGTAAACATCTAAGTTTAGCCGAGTTATGACTTGCATGAGGACTCCCCTTCAGCAAGTGACAAGGCCATGAAAGTGGTCCTCTGATAATCTCATCACCACAAGACTCTGCATGAATCCGGCATGTTAATCAATACAGTACCTACCGATGTGCTGCAGCGTTGTTGCTATCCTGCTTCTTTCTACATCTGCTTCACTCCCACCAGTGTTTTCCTACTTATTTGTGTGACGCCACAGGCTAACTGGAAAAAGTCAACATGAAAGGGCGCAGCTACTTGCAGATTACAGTAATGTGAGTAAATGTAATTAGTTACTTTCCACCTCTGCTAAGCAGGGAGGCCCAGATTTCCCTCTCCCCAGCCACCTGGGCCAGCTCCTGGATTTGGGGGTCCTCTGCCATTCCTTCTGTCAGGTTGGATGGTGATCGTGAGTGGACAGCCACTTTTAGGTCTCTCCAAAGATGCTCAAATGGCTTTAAGTCAGGGCTCTGGCTGGGCTACTCAAGAACAGTCACAGAGTTGTCATGAAACTACTCCTTTGTTATTTTAGCTTTTGAGGGCGACGGTGGCACAGGAGTTAAGAGCTCGACCCGTAATCAAAAGGTTGCAGGTTCGAGCCCCGCTCAGTCTGTCGCTGTTGTTGTGTCCTTGGGCAAGACACTTAACCCACGCTGCCTGCTGGTGGTGGTCGGAGGGACCGGTGGCGCCAGTGCTCGGCAGCCTCGCCTCTGTCAGTGCGCCCCAGGGCAGCTGTGGCTACATCGTAGCTCATCCCCACCAGTGTGTGCATGTGTGTGTGAATGGGTGAATGACTGATTGTGTTGTAAAACCCCCTGGGGGGGTTCCAGGGTTCTAGAAGGCGCTATATCAAATGCAGGCTATTTACCATTTAGTTGTGTGTTTACTGTCATTGACATGTTGGACGGCAAACCTTCAGCCCAATCTGAGTTCCAGAGCACTCTGGAGAAGGTTCTTGTCCAAGATATCCCTGTACTTGTCCGCATTCATCGTTCCCTCGATTGTTACCAGTCATCCTGCCCCTACAGCTGAAAAACACCCCCCACAGCATGATGCTGTCACCACCATGCTTCACTGTATGGTCTGTATTGGACAAGTGATGAGCAGTTTCTGGTTATCTCCTCACATTCCGCTTAGAATTAAGGCCAAAAAGGTCTATCTTGGTCTCATCAGACCAGAGAATCTTTTTTCTCACCATCTCTGGGTCCTTCAGGGGTCTTTACCAAACTCCACGCAGGCCTTCATGTGTCTTGCACTGAGGAGAGGCTTCCGATGGACCACTCTGCCACAAAGCCCTGACTGGTGGAGGGCTGCAGTGATGGCTGACTTTCTACAACTGTCTCCCATCTTCTGGCTGCATCTCTGGAGCTCAGCCACAGTGATCTTTGGGTTCTTCTTTACCTCTCTCACCAAGGCTCTTCTCCGCTGGTAGCTCAGTTTGGCTAGTCGGCCTGCTCTAGGAAGGGGAGGAGGGTATCGCTGCAGACCCGGAGACCGCAGATTCAGGCCGACTGCAGATTCAGGCTTGTACTGTTTTTGAGACAGCTCCGCCCACTGTTTGCTAGCCTTCCAAGATGGAGTACGATCGGAGAGTAAGTATAGAAGGTGTGGAACAGTATTTGTTTAATTAGTAAGAAGGAAGAAAACAAAAAACTAAATGAACTATCCAAAGGACCAATAATAATGCAGCTGGGTTTAAAAAATTTTTACTTTAATAAAATGTTTTCAGTTCATCATTGCAAAGTTCCACAGCATTCTGTATTTAAATAATGAGCCTTGTGTGTGTTGGTCCATCAAGGTGGTTGTTATGGAAAAACTTATGTTATTAATTATTGATCATGGACTCAATCAACTGAATGTACACGTATTGCTCTATGCCTCTCTGCAACCCCCCCACCCCCCACCCACACACACACACACACACACATACACACATTCTTGCATCCATACACACACTGACTCCCTCTCTCACACAATGACCTCACTCCTCCTTTCTTATCTTCCTCTCTATAAATAAAGCCTGTGAGCAGATGTTCGAAGCATTTGCACAGTTATAACTGTTTGACTTGTCTGCTCATTGTCTCCTTCTCTCTTCACCATAGGAAATGGGTTATTGATAAACATATTGATAAAATCCATGACAGTGGTTGATCTAGGGATGTCCAGAACCAGGAAAACTGGAAAAAGTTTTTTTATTATTTTGTTTCTACAAGCAACTTCAATTAAATAAATATGATAAAAACTTTTGTTATTAAAAGTTATTCAGAAGTTTTCAAATTTGTATTCTGAGAACTACTTCACCGAAGCTTTAACAACGAATAAACTATTTATTTATAAGCTTCACCGATAATTACATATTTTTATATGAAACTGTTAAACAGTAGAAGCTTGAATCTGCAGCAGGCGTGAATCTGAGATGTCCATGTCTGCAGCGATATACTACTGAGGAAGGGTTCTGGTCGTTCCAAACACTTTCCATGTAAGGATTATGGAGGCCACTGTGCTCTTAGGAACCTTAAGTGCAGCAGGGATTTTTTTGTAGCCTTAACCAGATCTGTGCCTTCTCACAATTCTGTCTCAGAGCTCTTCAGGCACTTCCTTTGACCTCATAATTCTCATTTGCTCTGACGTGCATTGTGAGCTGTAAGGTCTTACATAGACAGGTGTGTGGCTTTGCTAATCAAGTCCAATCAGTATAATAAAACACAGCTGGACTCCAATGAAGGTGTAGGACCATCTCAAGGACGATCAGAAGAAATGGAAAGCACCTGAGTTAAATATAAGAGTCACAAGGGTCTGAATAATTAGAACCATGTATAATTTCTGTTTTTTTTTAATAAATCTGAAGAAATTTCTAAAATTCTGTGTTTTTTCTGTCAGTATGGGGTGCTGTGTCTAATTAACGAGGAAAAAAATATTTTAACTGATTTTTTCAAACAGCTGCAATATAAAAGAGTGAAAAATTGACGGGGGTCTGAATAGTTTCCGTACCCGCCGCAGTTATTTGATAAAACTGTGACACGTTATTCAGGGTCCTCACCGTGCCATCAGTGGGGTTAATGGTCTTGTAGGTCTTTCCTCCCTCTGCATCAACAAACTCTCCCTTGATGAAGAGCTGGTGGGGCATCATTACAGTCATTTTGTTAATTTCCTTTTCCACCTGAGAAGTTAAAACATATATGAGGAAAAAGACTCAGCATGATTCTTCTTAGTAGTTGATAACGACTGGTAGCGTGCATTCAAAACACTTACATAGTCAACAATAAGCTCTTCGTCATTGTCCTCCCCTCTGAGCTTCCTGACACACATCTGCATGAAATCCTGGAAGGTGGTGTTCATGTAGACATCTTCATTTTGCAGCTGACAGCTACTGGCACAAAGCTTCACTTCCTCCACAAGCCTGAGAGCAGCAAAGAAAAAAGATTAAAAGCAGAAGCCATTTTTTCAAAAGGTCCTCTCAAGATAAAAATTACAAGGTGCTTCAAAAGAACAATAAATAAAAATTGTAAATTATTTTAAATCATATATCGTAATAGAAATGGGTGAAAAGTCAATTGCTACATTTAAACATGTGAATGAAGAGAGAAATGTTAGAACCAGCATCATGCAAATTCAGGAAGAATCAACAGAATCAGCAGG